TGACTGCAATGACTGTGAAGATGTTTAATGTACTAAAAACCCTTGCATTTAGATGCTAACTGGAATTCAAAGTCTGCAGCCTAACTGTGGAATTTTTAAATGCAGAAAGAGACAAATTAAATTCATATCTGAAGGTGACCAAGTTATAGTTTTTTTTTTTACCTGCAGTGCCATGGCAATCTGGACAAACCACTCCACCACCTGATTCTCGGGCAGAAGTTTGCCCTTCTGCTCTTTGAGTTTGTGGTACAGATCTCCACCCTCGCAGAAGCCCATCACAATATACAAGAGGCCATCTTCCCCCTGCCAGGACTCTCTGTAGGTGACTATGTTTGGGTGTTTCAGCTGGGATAGCAACTGTGCCTCCTGTTCTGCTGCTCTCCTCTCTCGGTTGGAAGCATTTTTAAGGTTTAACTTTTTGATGACATACTGTAAAAGAAATTTCAAGGTGTACTATGAGAGATGAAAGTAAGTATTCAGAAGCCCTAGGGAATTCCCCAGATCTAAAGGAAATACAGTATTTTAAATCAGCACACATTAATCAGTATGGAGATGTCTAGTAGTTACACATCATTTCTACCATTACCCCATGAAAATGGAACAGGCGTGCATATTCTATTCATCTACCTGAACAAAACTCTGCCCAGGAACTTTGTAGTGTTTTGCTTTCTTTTGACTAGTGTTCACATTTTTCTTCTTTTCCCCACTCTCATTTTAAATTTGTGTCTATCATTCATCTCTTGAGCCTGAAATACCTGTTTGTGCATCACAGCTACTCTCAAAACAGGCCATTTCAGTAGTAACTTTTAAAATATAATAACATCAAGGAAAGCATGCAGTCACATGCAAAAAATGACAATGGTTGTCTAGGATAAAGGTCATCTGGCTAGACTTAATTTTGCTCTCTGCTAGAAAACCAAACCCAACTCCTTTCATTTTATTTTAAATAAAAGTGGTCTTTTCCTTTCACTTATTCAGAAATGAAACATGTACTCTTTGTAAAAAAGAAAAGAGAAACTCAAGAAATAACATCTCACAAGTTCTGCAAACACCAATCATACATTTGACGACCAAAAATATTGTTAAAATCTCACTTTCAAGACTCAGATTACAAATTCGCCATTGCCACATTCACAAGAAGTATGTAATAGAGCTGAATTTCTGAATGCAGAATAAATCATGCTGCTGAGCTTTTTAGGTCCACTCATTGTTTCCTTAAAAAACTTGTACCTGGCAGAAGACCCTCAAGGCAGCATTGACTTGGAATTAATCACTTTGTACAAAAAATCTACAAAACATTGAAGCACAGGAAAATAGGGAAAAAAAGGAAAAAAGCTTCTATCAGGAGAAGAAATGTAGCAAGTAGAGAGGTAGATGGAGGACTGGTATAGTTACAGGGATATTGAAAAAAATACTGTCTCAAAAACCTGAAAGTAGATTTAATTTATTTTTTTAAAACATGCTTTTAAACTATCTGCTGCATTTATAAGTTTCTGCATACGCAGGCTTAAACTTATTCAAGAAGAAATGAACTATTACAGGGAAATAGAGACTCTCATGCTGCATGAGCCAAAAGGTCTTACACTCACTCCTAAATTTATTTTATTCTATAATAAGATGGGTTTAGAATTTCTTAAAACTACATATGAAAGCTGTTATTTACGTCCCTAATATGTACTACCTCAAGTGTATTTCTAAGGAATTTCAGGTTTTAGCAAAAATACAACTGAAGCTGAGACAATAAAATCCATAGCATACGTTCATCATACACAGCACCAACATTTCCGTCTCACCCAGGCCCCTTCCTGATGTAAATTTTGTGGCAATCATTTTTAGGGCATCAGCTTTCCATGGGACAATCACGCCATGGTATACACCTGACCCCACTCTTAACTGAAAGTTTTGAAATCTAAACATCTAAAAAAATTTTGTGTTTCAGAAATCTGCTGGATATCAGACAAGCTCCTCAATTCTTATAACCCGTGATGATGCATAGCTCCCAAGAGTGATATAACAAAACTAATTGTGTACAGCATCCTCTAATTTTAAAACAAAATAGAAATGCTGTAACTACAATGTTCTATGTGACAAGCTACAACTGTATCTTTGGGCATGGAAATCAAAAGCTTTTGTCTTCAGAGGATACACTACCAAAATGCAAAAAGCATGCATATAGCCTAACTTTAAACTCGACATTGCTTATATTTGGTTTAATGAGCATTTTATTCTGGCAAGATTCCCAGAAGTTTATTGCAATGCTCTTCCACTTTTTGTGATACCAAATTGTGTACAAATTGGACTTTTGTTGTTGTTGTTGTTGTTTTTTTGACACTTGACCTTCTCCACAAAAAAAAAATCCAACCAGCATTCAGTTAGTAAATATGCTTAAATAAAACACAAATTTTTTCACAGGCCGTGTAGCACTATGCCAAAGCAAAAAGAAAAATAATCCTCATCATCCTGCTACAGAAGAAAGTTTATAGAAGTTGACAAAAGATAAGACACAGGAAAATGGATCAAATATTTAAGGTAAAATAACAATGATAAGAAAGCAAGGCTCTTGCCAACTTTAATGATCAGCAGCACGACAAAGAGGTGAAATCCAAGGGCCTCCATATGGTTGAAAGTCACCTCAATGCACTGTTTACTTTTGGGACAATGAGGTTGCAATTTTGTGCGGACATTGGACTATGCACTATGGTGACTGACCTGGAGGGAACAAGTGCTACCAACACTGATACCCAGTCCATAGGTTGTAGGGATTTGCCTTTGAAGGCAGGGAAGAGGCTGGAATTCATCGGGAAAGAACACACCTCCTGATCACCACTGGGCACAAACACTTCTCCCACCATCTCTAGTCAAATCCCGGGCACGAGGCTCACCACCAAGGTTCCTGCAGTTACTGCTCTGTGGATGTTCTCCATCCCCATTCCTTTATCCTTTTGCATCAAACAAACACATCTGCTTTGGCCAGGCAAGACAGGTTATTTCAAATTTCCAACAAAAAGGCAAACACCTTGTACTTCAGCTCCAACATAACCAAAACTTTGCCAGGTTCTGCCGCAGTCGATATAGCAAACACAAAGCCCATCTCCTCCAGCGGAGCTGATCCCAGTGAAAGCCAACACCAGAAGCTGTTTTTTCCATCCTTGTTATCATTTTTATCTCCACCACAGGTGCATGACCTAAGGAGACCACACTAGCACCAACAAGCCAAGAGCAACCTTTTCTGCTTCCTGCTAAAGAGTGGGCTGTTATTTTCCTGTCGCCCAAAGGACTACCAAATCTAGGTTTTCTTCCCCAAACCAAGGCATTACACATTTAAAAAAAAAAAAAAAACAAAACCAAGAATCAGTTTTATTTAAATGAAATGAAAAAAAGAAGTGAGGATTTTGGTTTTATTTGGGGTTTTTTTGAGATGAAAAGGGGGGGGGGGAAAGGCTCTTCTCCACACATTTAGTAGAAGTCTTTGTAAACAAGGGGGGAAAGCGGAATCCCTCGACGGGAAGCCCAGCTCACGTGGCTGCTGTCACACCTCAGCACCGGGTCACAGCTGCACCCCGGCATCAGCCCACAGCCCCGCTGGCGACCGGGGCTGTCACCGGGGCCACACGCCAAGGCGGGGCCACAGGCCGCACCCCCCAACCCGCCCACGGCCCCAGCGGCACCCCCAGACCAGGCCAGGGCCATTCCCCTCACAGCAGGCCCCGGCCGTTCCCCTCACAGCAGCCCCTCGCTACCTGCTTGCTGTCCTGCCGGTGCCGCACCAGGCTCACCTCCCCGTAGCTGCCCTTCCCCACGGCTCGGAGGAAGCAGTAGGCGGCCAGGGGCATCCTCCCGCCGCCCGGGCCCGCTCAGTGCCCGGCGGCCGGGGCCCGCCCGCCCGGCAGCGCCTCTGCCGCTCCCGCTGCCATAGAGATCCCCGCGGCGCCCCCACGGCCATAGAGAGGACGCCGCAGCGGCGCGCAAGGCAGACCGCCGCTCGTCTCTATGGTGCAAGCGCTTGGCGGCGCTGCGGCGGCCATTTTGGAAGCGGGTGAGGCGGCCATCTTAAGAGTGGGCAGGGAGGCTTGAGGGAGGTGCGAGGCTGGCTTTCCCGAGAAATAAAGTCGTCCCCTCAAAAACAGCGTCTGATGAACCTGCTTGATGTGCTGTTCCGTGTGCTAAGCCCCGAGGAAGGGTGGGGACAGGGACACGGTGACAGTCCTGGGGACAAGCACCACAACCAGCCCCACCGCGGGTCTGTGCTCCCTGAGACATGAGGTGGCTGGGGAGGCTGGCAGAGCACAGCTGTGCTGCAGAGCCACCCTGTCACCTTTGCATGGGACAGAGAATTGGTTTAAAAAGTTCTGGGCTGGCTTAAAAGAAGCTCCTGGACCTGTCCTCCTGCGTCCTTCACATGGCTGCACACCTCAGACTGCAGGAAAAACAGGAAATACTCCAAATCCTGTAAACTTGAATATTTTCTTATCACTGAGCTATTAACTCCCAGCCTTCAAAGTTTGTATTTCATGCAACAGGGGAGATGAACCCGGTTAAAAAGAAGAAGAGAGAATGAATGCTGTCAAGATAACAAAGCAAGCAGGCCTTGCAGCAACGGGCTGAGTGGGTATCGATTGCGAAGATGAATAGGAAAGCATGTAATACGAAGTTTCTGGACTAGTCAGGGCACATGTCAAATAATGATACCTAAATTGGATACTTGAGAGATATGCAGGATTACAGGAGGTAGTTTTTGAAGAGGAGCATAAAAAACTTTAAGAGACTGCAAGCTCCATTACGGCTGCAATAAATTTGAGCCAGAGACAGCCTTTAAGACAGTATCAGAAAGATGACAGTTTCGTTTGGAAAAGAGATGGGTCTGTAGCAGAGATCAATCTCAGTTGCCTGTGCAGAAATGGCTGCGAAATTTCTGTTTGGAGATATTACATGGAAGAGACGTTGAAATATTCTGTAAATTCTGCAACAGCATTCTGCAGATTATGCAAATTCAAAATTCAGTATTTGAGTTTTCCCAAATGCCTAATGTTTAATCCAACTTTTCACACTGGGTTATTTATTAACACTCAGTAAACAAAGAATTATATATTTATATGAGTTGTTCAGATTGGAATCTTACTTTTTTTCGAAAATGGAAAACCATCTATTGCTTTGTATTTTATTTTTGATTCCTGCTTTTGCATCATCAGACTTTTTGGTAACACACATCAGAAACATCAAGGTAAGTAATCGAGCATGTATGGGGCTCCCATTCCTCATAGATTAACTTCCTGCCATTTATCAACATTTATCAGAGAGTTCATACAGTGCTGCCACCAGGAGCCTCTGTGTTCTCTGTTACTAGTGAACACAAGATCAGACCTGGGACACAGGCTAGTTTGCCTCTTAGCCTCAATTTTGAATCAGCTCTGAAGAAACTCTCCTCTTTCTCTTTTTAAAAGCATCACTTTCCTCTGTTTTCTCTGTCATCACCACATACTGGTAAAATGTTTTAGTGGTCATATATTTAAATGTGTGAAACAATCAGTGCTGCCAGGGAACTGACTTTAGCACCTGTAAAGCAGTGCAAGGTATCAGTGAAAAGATGCCTCCAAGAAGCAGAAAAGAGAGATATAACATGGCATCCAGATAAATATGGCCTCTATCCAAGTGACACGGTAGGATTTTTCTCAAAAGCTTTGCATGTGAGCATAACATGAAATAGACCTCTGTCCCTCAAAGGGGCCATTCTTGCTTTGGCTGCATCTCTGCATAAGATGTTCTGCCTGCCTCTTCCTGACGTTCTGCCCTATTTTCTTCAGTTAAGTCACTGGCCGCTACTCCTCATCTCCATAAATTATTTCCCTCTCTCTCAGTAGTTACATACTATTACAGAGGGCAAATCTCTTTGGGGAGCATTGTAGGTTAGTGGGTAGAATAGGACAAAGCAATTTACAGCCAATTTCTGTTGATTTATGGTCTTTGGACTTTTTCTTTGAAAATCAGGATAACATATCTCACTTTTTAAAATCAGCTTGAGATTTATTGCTGCAAATTGGAGATGCCCCGGATTATTTAACCATTATGTAGCCCAGATATGATGTAGCTTTTTCCTCCTGATTACCATACTATCTGTTGTTCTCTGTATGTCTTGCAATGCTAAAGCCATTCTACATGGAAAATAGCCAAATCTCAGTGTAGTGCTCCATCTGTACATGCAGAACACTACAAAAAAGATGGTTGATTCTCCCAGTTTTGTTATATGCTTTATGCAAATATAGTTTGATTGAAATGGAGGAGATTGCTGTGTAGTGTGAGGGTATCAGACCCCATCCCTGTCTTATCTCATTTGAGCAAGCAGTGTGCCAGTGAGGAGTGATGAGGCATGGCTGGAAGTCTGTCTGGCTGGTGACCTTCAAGCTGTCAAAGCTGCTTTTAAAGCCATGGTCAGGTAAACACAAATGGCAGGCTCCATTCTGCTGAAAATTGAACAAAAATCCAAATCGGAGATCCCCACGTGCACTTGTACACCTCATTCCTAGGCGTGCAGCTACTAAGGGTGGGGAAGTTTTTTCTAGATTAAAACCTATCCCTAGAAATACACAGTCAAAGCATTCATAGTACGGGTAGCGATGATACAGCCTTCCTTTTACAGCCCTCTCATTTTGGCAGCAGTGAGACTCCTACATAGCTCACGAGAAAGTTTAGTTTTCATAGCTAAACTGCATTATCATCTCTTCTCTGTGATTTTCAATTACCATCACTTGATATGATGTTGCTGTAGATCTGGAAATAATTTTCACGCCTTATTTTTTCCTGTGTAGTACTTAGGGATAAAAGCAAATACCTCATTCAGTGTTGTGAATTCCCAGAGGTCACTTCAAGTTGACGGCACAGTCTTTGCTGAATTGTTTAGTCGTGCTGTGGTTTAGTTTCCCAAGCTGTAAAATCAGGCCTTCTTTCAGCAAGTACTGTAACAGGAGCCCTCTTTTCCCTTCCTATTTTCTTGGGAGTTCAAATTTCCTTTTTCCTGTGCTTTTCCTCTCCAATTTCTACACATTTTTTTTGCACCTATATGCTTTGCTGTGGCCACAGCGAAAACAGTATTAAACAAAAGCAGCATTTGTTACTTTTTTGCAACAACAAAAAAACCAGTAATTGGTACAAGTGGCAAATATGTAGAAACACTACAGAAACATTTTATCAAGTAACTGTAATTACAAAGGTAGAGGATATTAAAACTCAATTTGGTCTGGAAGTACATACCATATTTTTTAATGGGACGCTATCACTTTCTCCCCACATAACTTAAAATGACCTTGATGTTAGTGAGGTCTCTGGCTACCTCCAAGTGAATCATCAAGAATAAAAACAAAACAAAACAAAACCCACAGAATCAGAGTCATCTAATCCACTGCCCCGGGCAAATCAGGGTCAGCTGCAGCAGAAAGCCGAGGACAATGTCCAGCTGGGCTTGAGTATTGAAGATCAGACGAAGTACAAAGCAACTAATACTTTTCACCTGGAGATTTTTTTGTATTTTCTTTTTCAATGAAAACGGCAGAGTACTCCCCAAATTACTTACAGAATCAGAAAAGAAGTCTTTCATAACTACTGTAGAACCCATAATTCTGATAAAAAATGGGCACGACAGCAATTCTGTGAAAGTTAAATGCAGGTAAAGTATCTTTTAATTTAGGAAGCAGTGGTCAGAATTTCACAATTTCTAACTGAAGAACTCATTTTTGTAGGTTTTTTTTTGTATTCTTAAACTGCTTGGTAATTCCACTTTAAGGAAAAGTTTGTACCAAACAAAATGACATTTCTGTGACTTCCCACTTTTTGTTTCCCAGGGTCTATACTTCAGTTAATGTTTTGTAAAGGGAAAATGATTAGCTGTAACGAGAGTATAGATACAGGAAAGATAATTTCAGTTTTGCAAAGGAAGGATTTGAATTGGTGTGTACTCTACACAGACATTAAAAAAGCCCACATAGGTTTGTGAGGCAGGAGACACGTACACACCGAAATCATGTGTGTGGCAGTAACGGTTTGAAAGATGAACCTAGAGAAATGTACACACACTTTTTGTGTGTACTTATATTAGTTGAGAAGCCTCCCCCCTAAAAGCCTTGCATTACCATAGATTTAATACAGTGTCTTGAAAAAACCTCCAAAATAGATAAAAATAACCCTCTGCATCTCAGTTTCCAACCTGTAAAGCTCCTAAATGTGAAAGGTAACAAAAGCCATAAATGTACCTGAGATGTATATCTGTTTTGATAGTTAATTGTGTCTTTACCCCTGTATTTGGTGGAGCAGGTAAACACGCTTGCACAAATTGTGACCCGTGAGGCTCTCAGAGCCAAAAGAGATAAGGGATTTGCAGCCGAGCTTACGGGAATTGAGTTACACAAGCTGTTATTTTAATATTGTTCAGTATGTTTGAGGCCTGTTCTCTCTTTCAGAAGAGAGCACATGATATTTTTGTAGAGCTTCTGATATTTGCACCTACTCTGGGAGCAAATATGCCAAAAAAACCCGTAACAGCTTTTTTTTTTTTTCCCTCCAAGCAGCCTTCCATAGTGACGGCCTCTCCTCCCTGTAGGCCTGCTGAGTTACCATCTTACCCATCCATGTTAGAATGAGAGGCTGTTGGGCTGAAACAGGAACAAAATACAAAATCAGCAACATTCAAAGTTTAACTTCTTTTTCAAACCCACAGTATTTGAGATGCATTAACATCAGATGAAAACCAAAAGATTCACCAAAACTGGGAATGCTATAAGCAGAATATAAGCATACCTTCCTCAGATGCCTTACTTGCTCTTCCCTCAAATTTACTTCAGTTTACTAATGAGGACCTTTTTCAAGCCTTCCTTCTCTCAACCAGCATTTTTTGACTTGGAAGGAGAAGACAGCTACATAGATACTAAGTGATTTATTTCTAAATGCACTAAATGCAGCTTTCCTACCTCAGTCATGATTTTTTTTTCCTTGTGTTTTTTTCTTTACAGAAGCGAAATGTCGATAACGACTTGGTGAGTAAAACTTGGTTTTGGTCGGGCTACTAAGATTTATAGTGACAAGAATATTCTTGCTGTGTTCACAACATGTTTCTGTGAGTCCAATCTGAGTAAATGGATATTTCTGAGCGTGTGTGACGAGGGGAGTAGGCCAGGGTTGCTGGCTTTAGGCAGCAGGACTAACTAGGCAGTTCCTTTCCAAGCTCTGATGGAAACTCCTGGACAAGGAAAGAGAATGAACAAATTATTTTTAACCTTGTATTTGAATAAATACCAAAGTTGTTTGAAGTCAGTTCTGTATCTCTAACAATCATCCACCCTGTGCTAGTTTTATTTTTACTTTTATTTTATGGCATAGTTATTTCTAAGGAAGGCAAGAGACCTCATCTCTGATGCCAATTCCACTTGGCTCCTGGACTCCACTTCAGCAATGCTTAAATGCTTTGATTGTTTGAGGACCTTAATCAACCGTCCAGAGATCAAGCTAACCATAAAAACACTAAGATTCTTTCCTGTGCTGGTTTTGCTGCAAGAAGCAGACCTTGTTGTGGAGTTGTCTAAGGAGTGACATCTGTTGTTACCTATGCTCTCACATAGTTTCCAGCATCCTTATAGCTGAGCATTCAAACAAAATAGGCATTGCCTTACCCATTTCCTTGTTTAAAGAAAAATGAGCCCCAGTTGCGAGGAAGTTGAGAATAATTTATAATGGAATTTGAGCCATCTGGAATTGTTTAGGTCTATTTTTAAACAAACTACTCTAGGAGTCATTCACTCAGCTGATAATCACAGCCACTAATACAGTGAGGCAGCAGTAAGTTGTTGTGCTCTTAGATAATCATAAACAAAAGTCACAATCTCAGTAGAGAAAAAACCTGATTCTTATAATGGCAGTGTCTTTGCTGTGGAAGTAGTATTTTGTTAAAGAGGCTACAGTTATAAGGCGTGGAACAGCAGTGGGATGGCAGTGTGATATATATCCACGGAAACACAGCTGTGCTCCAGTTCTTATGATTAGATTTTTCCTGTTTTGCTTTGGAGTGATAAAATACCCTGCCTTGGTTTCTTTTTAAAAATGTGATTATGGCCAATTAACACAGACATCAGTGTAACAGCTAGCTCTTTTTTTCTTTTTTTTTATTTTTTTTATTTTTCGATCTACAGGTTGTCAATGGGATAGAAATCTATAGCATGAAAATTGATAGTAAAGTAACTTCCCGATTTGCCCACAATGTCATCACCAGTCGAGCTGTCAATCGTGGAAATGTGCCCAAAGAAGTCTTCTTTGATGTTGAACTCCCTAAGACAGCCTTCATTACCAACTTCAGCATGTGTGTAATCTTTACAATACTGTTAGAGAAGACTAAAAACCCACGGAAATGCAACTGGGAGAAACTGAACCCAAATGTTCATTTTTACTTTGCCATTTTGACAGATTTCTAAGTGCCTCCTGGGTAATTTTCTGGTACAATTAACTTAACATGCAAGATACATGGAGAAAGGCAAACATTGGTACATCTACAGAAAAGATGACTGATTTTCAATTATTTCTATTCATCAACATGGACCTTAAGGAATGGGGGATCATCTCTGGAGATCCATTCACCTTTTCAGAAATACTTCGTATTTACTCTGGTATTATCAAACCAGAAGAAGTTCCATTACTTAATTTCCCTGATGGCATTATAGCTTAATTTATCTTTTCCTTTAAAAATCATATTTGAATGAAAGGCAGGCAATAAAATTATTCCTTTACATTTTTACCGTTAGTTGCAATAATACACAATTCTCACACCATTATGAGGTTTAATTCAGTTTAAACACATCCATCTCTGCTTATCACATTATGCCTGTTTTATTTTCAATGAAAAGAAACAGTAGCTTTTAGGGCACGACTACTCATAATGCACACTAGAACTTTTTCGACAGGAGGAGATGGAACCCCTCTGAGAAATGCCTGTTCAATGGTGTGAGGAGCCTCAGGATGAAATATTCACTGTAGACAGCTACATTTGGGCAGATGAGTCTCAACCAGAGAGTCACCTTGCCATTATATGAGATAAGATGGTCAAGCTGCTGCAGTGTAGGAATATGGCAGTTTGAAGTAGTGTTACTGTCACCCCAGTTTTGATCTAATTCATTTTCAAAGTAAAAATTGGTTTAGGTTCTCTTAAGATAGTAGGCACAAAGCTCTTCGTTCCTGCTAAGTTCACCGAGAAGACTAACTTCAGTGCAAATGCTCAAATCTTGGCAATATCAGATTCCTTACAGTGCTTTTTAGCAAACCAATCAATACACAGAGAATTGCCTACAGTAACTTTTCATGTATCGGTGCAAATCACTCAGCTAAACTAGGACTTTTTCATCTGCAGGACAATTGATGGTGTCACTTATCCTGGAACTATAAAGGAAAAAGAAGTGGCAAAAAAGCAATATGAGAAGGCTGTTTCAAAGGGACAGACTGCTGGTCTTGTCAAGTAAGAACGATGCCTTGTGTGGCTTCCACACCATCATCTCATAGCAAGTCATGAGGTTGCCAAGACTTTGTTCTGGCATATTTCTGAAGTGTTTTTTTCTTTACAGGACCATAAAACAATCATTAAGTTAGAGTTATTGTAGTGTAAATTATAAAAAGAAAATAGAACTTCTGATTACGCAGGCAGTATCTACAATTATAGAAAGACTGTTTCTGCAACTTTCACTGACTTTGTATGACTGGTTCCTGGGATTAAGCTCAGTGGGAAACTTGAATAAAGTCTACAGTTTGAATATGATTTTAGCAATAGACCAAAATTCCCATCCTTGTTTTACTCCGTTTTGAAAATCATACTCCACCAACCCCAAACAGTAAGTACTGAGAAAGAGGATAAAGGTATTATTTTTCTTACCCACTTAAATGCAGAGCTTCAGGAAGAAAAACAGAAAAATTCACTGTTTCAGTCAACATTGCAGCAGCCAGTAAAGTCACTTTTGAACTCACATATGAGGAACTGCTGAAGAGACAGTTTGGAAAATATGAGATGTTCATCAAAGTAAAACCGAAGCAGCTTGTCAAAGATTTTGAGGTAAACTGTATCAAATTAGTCTATAATGTAAGAAATGGTGAAATTCTGTAAATCTGTTGACAGCAGAGTGCCATGGTCATTGCCATTGCATCACAGGTGAGCTAGAGCCCATGGTAATATTTCTAATGGCTCACATGGGGAGTCCACACCAGTATGCTTTAGTGCGGGTTTTTATTTGTAAACCTGACAAATTGGCTCAGTGACTAAGCCTCCAAAAGAAAGGATGTATGAAAACCTGAAAAAGCCATTACGATGTCTTGGGGTAAAATAAAATACTAGTTGCTTTTATAAATGCCTTTATAGCATAAACTATACCTTTCTCACACCAACATGAAACTACCTCATCTTAAATTACAGTGATATGTATCTTGCATTCTAGAATACCATAGCTTTTTGTGTGCCAAAACTTGTCTTTAATCACTCTTTTCTGCCTAAAACCTAGCTCTATGGAAAAAGTTTTCTCCTTTATATGCCCAGAAAATGTGTGTAAAAATCCTTACAAAACTCAGCATCTATAAGAGTTTATGCAGCATTATTTTAAATGCACTATGACAGAAGGCATACTGAAATATAGGTTGAAGTTGGGCACTCAAGGACTTGAGTACTTGAAAATTTTACAAAATTTTACCGACATTTTACAAAATTCCAGTGTCTGGCTTTCAAACAAGTTATATTCCTATTAAGGTCCATTTGTTTCTAGCTTTGTTTTAAACTTCATATATAATTATAAGTTGATCAATATATATATATCAATATATATTGATATAAGTGATTGATATACATCAATATATAATTGATATAAATTGTATATATTGATATAAGTTGACATATTGTGGGGTTATCAATGACAATGAATTTTCAATTAATATTTCAGATTGAAGTAAATATCTTTGAGCCCCAGGGTATCGCTGACCTGGAAGCGGAAGGAACATTCATCACCAATGATCTACAAAATATCATAAAGAAAACTTTTTCAGACAAAAAGGTACTATGACTACTGCATTCATAATTTATTTATTACAGTTATCATTCTGAAATAATAGTGTCAGTGCAAAAGTGCTGTAGTGGCTAGCAATGGAAATGAGAGAAGAAAATGCAGTAAAGGTTTGTCTGTGCAAATGAGCTCTAAATCCCAAGCAAGCAAGTTGAAGGCCATCTCCATACAGCTGAGAAGCCACGTAGCTGTTAGCATGGTATGGTACCCAAACCAGTAGGCCTTGTCCCACAGCAGCAGCTGCAAACCTGGCTACCAATAGGACTATTTCTTACAGAACTGAGTCAGCAACAAGTAGTTTTCTCATGTATGGAGGTGGCAGAACTCCTAAGACACAGGCTGCCCGACAGGCAAAGGTGTCATTCAGAGCGGAGAGCTGAACCAAGGAAGATGGGGAAATGAATATATGAAGCAAGTTCTAGTTAGCAGCCTTCACGTACCAGTTACCTATCAGTAAGTACATGAATACATATAGATAGAAGCTAATACCTAATCTGATAATAGAGATTATTCTCATGTCTATTAATATAACTAATATAGTTTTACAAAAATGCAAACTTTGTGTTCTGTGGAAAATTTTCAGCTAATAAGGTTGAGATCTAATGAAGGCTTTTCTTTTCAGGGGCACATCTCTTTTAAGCCAACTCTTGATCAGCAGCGAACCTGTGCAAATTGCTCACAGTCTCTCTTGGATGGGGATTTTATTGTAAAGTATGATGTGAAGAGAACAACTCCAGATAACTTGCAGGTAAATCTGACAGCTGGAAACTTTGAACTGTTGAACAGCTTAAGCTTGCATAGGAAAGGTCTGGGAGCAGCAAGGGCCAGCGGGTCCCTAAAGGACAGGCCCCTGAGTGTGACAGCACAGGGGCTCCGCCAGCCACCAGCCCGTTCCCCACAGTACCTGAGCAAGGAAGACCCAGAGATGGTTGTCACATTCAGCTGAGAGTTCAGGTCATCAGGCAAGTTTGCAGTCATGAGGCAGCCCAAGATCAAGGTGGGAAGTCAGTCTGCAGGGTGGGATCCAAACAGGTGGAGTCCATGGACAGGAGCAGGTCTGGCTGTGATACAGCTGGAGACAGTCGTTCTTCCAGTGTAGCTCAGGCAGGACTTGTGCTTAAATGAAGCTCCTGGGCTGATGGAGAGAGGTGAGACTGGTCAGGGCCATTAAAGCCTATTAATCCACTTACAAGCTAGACACTAAATGGAAGTAATTTCGTCTTTATCCATTCTATCTTTATAATATACAAAATTTTTGTGGGTTTTTTGGTTTGTTTGTTTAAATTTTATTTTTCAGATTGTCAATGGCTACTTTGTACACTTCTTTGCACCAACAAATCTTCCAAAGTTGCCCAAGAATGTTATTTTTGTAATAGATATTAGTGGCTCAATGGCTGGAAGAGAAATAGTGCAGGTGAGTTATGACATTACTATAAAGTCCAAACAGAAAAGCCTCTGTTGTGATGGAAGGGACGTGGTGGCTTATAGTGCATATGTGCTGCTTAAGCTATACCAAGTGGTTTTATCCTGTGACCTCTCTAATGCTCGGTACCATAAGTACTGGTTTGAAGTTTTACTGTAGAACAAAATTCTATACATTTAGGTTATATTTACTTGCTTATCACAGAATGATACATGGTTGGAAGGGACCTCTGGAGATCATCTAGTCCAACCCCCTGCCAAAGCAGGGCCTCCTAAAGGAGATTGCAAAGCAATGTGTCCAGGTGGGTTTTGAATGTCTCCAGAGACAGAGACTCCACCACCTCTCTGGACAGCCTGTTCCAGGGCTCTGCCACCCTCAAAGTGAAAAAGTTCCTCCTCGTCTTTAGATGGAACTTCTTATGTACAAGTTTGTGCCCATTTCCTCTTGTTCTATTATTGGGCACCACTGAAAAAAGACTGGCCCCGTCCTCTTGACACCCATCCTTTAAGTATTTATAGGCGTTGATCAGATCCCCCCTCAGCCTTCTCTTCTCCAGACTAAAAAGACCCAAGTCCCTCAGCCTTTCCTCAGAAGAGAGATGTTCCAGGCCCCTCATCATCTTTGTAGCCCTCTGCTGTACCCTCTTCAACATGTAAACGTTACTAGTTCAAAACTCTTAATATCAACATTTCCTGAGAGCTCTGTCATGTGCACTGGACAGTTCCAAAATTAAAATGTTCATGCAGCACTTTGTGCATTCTCTATATTGTTCATTCTGTATCCCCTGGGAAGCAGCAGCTCTTCTTATAGTGAGGACTCCTCATTCTGAGCTAATGCTCAGAATTTTCAGGTTTTGGTGCTGCATCAAAATATCTGTGCTTGCTTGCATATGAGCTTCTCCACCAACCTAGAGCCACCCGTTTCCCATCGCTCTCACCTTGCGGTCCCAGCTTCCCGCAGTGTCAGCAACGGTCCATGATGGAGACCTGACTTTCCTCTTGGCTGCAAGGATTTACCAGATGTGATTGCAACTGGCTGACTTCACTGGAGTTACTCTGAAGTACACACTGTGTAAAAGTTAAAAATACCCAAATGCTGAGAGATGACTCGTGAAATTTGTAAGCACCTATTTTGGTGAATGTTGAACCATACATTTAAATCTCTTTGTCTTAGAGACAAGAGAAGCACTTCTAAAAATCTTAGATGACATCAAAGAAGATGACTTCTTCAATTTCATACTGTTTGGTAGTGAAGTACATACCTGGAGAGAAACATTAATCAAGGCCACTCCTGAGAATTTGGATGAAGCAAGGAAGTTTGTTCAGGGCATTGACACTGAAGGCAGTAAGTACTTTACTGGACTTGCCAATAGGTCATTGCTTAAGTTAATTTATCAATTCAGTCTGTGAGCACAATGCTACAGCTTTTTTTAAAATTTATTTTATTACTGATGAGACACTCCTAAAGTTTAGATTTACTGAGAACGTGACATCTACTTTTCCTTATGTTTTTGAAGTCCAAGTACTTTTCTGTCTAAGCATCCCCCTGCTTGCAAACCCAAATCTTTCATTTTCATATTTTATGAGATCTCATCAGATTGCAGAGGAAAAAATGGCCCTTTACTTTGACTGTCTGTGCTGGAACCTAATTTCTATGCCTGCCTTGCAGTGACGAATTTACACGGTGGTATAATGAGGGGAATTGATATGCTGAATGCTGCTCACGAAGGAAACCTTGTGCCCAAGAGAAGCGCTTCTATAATTATCACGTTAACAGATGGCCAACCAAACGTAGGTGAGTTTGCGTTGGATGGAATAATAAGAGTGAATTAGCTACTAAAAAACCGCTCAGTTAAAATTGGCCTCCATCTTTGACTTCCAGATGTTTTCATTATTTAAGTGTTACTATGACAGCACCATACTATTAAAACAAGTTTTTGATAATGCCTCCTAAGAGATCTGAACATGACCAGCCACATTTCATTTTGTGGTAATTTTATATATATATGAAGAAAACTCAAATCTTTTCTGGTTTGATGCAGGCGTATCAAATACTGAGGACATTCAGGCACATGTAAAAAAAGCCATAGAAGGAAAATATCCCTTATACAATCTTGGTTTTGGCTATGGCGTTGACTACAGCTTCTTGGAGAAGATGGCACTGGAGAATAAAGGATTGGCCCGTCGGATTTATCCTGACTCTGATGCAGCTTTACAGCTTCAGGTACCGTAATCACCACTTAAATTAGGTGAGATACGCATTAATTCATATAACCATACAGACATTCCTGTTTTGAAGTAGTAATCTGGTACTGAGATACTCAAGAGTCTGCTGTAATCAGAGTATCAACTGCATTTAATTTTCCCCTTCCCTTATATAAGCAGAAAGTGGAAGGAGAGTAAAAGGGAGATAGTGTGGAGTATGGAAGAGGGTTCAAAACTTGTCATAGGGTGACACAAGTCACGGTTCTGAAGGACACTTCTGTGTGCAGCAAAACTACTGCAATTGTATCTCCCACATCTCACAGATCATGTAGCTAATGTCATGTCAAGGGAAAAAAAGGCTGACAGAGCATAAAGGCTCTAGATGACAGGCAATACAGAGTTGATCTTTTTTAGTTCTCCCATTCCAATAGCAGCCATTCAAAAAACTCACCAAAGAATTTAGATACTGGATTTCATTGCAAGCTCTGCCAAAATCAAATACCTAGTCTCCTTTGGCTTATGTTGTCAGTTCTATCAAATGGAGGGGAGCTTGGGGTCCCTCTTGATTAACATTGATGGAACTCATCATCCACAGCATGTTCTCAGGTATTTTTCCTTTCTTTCCGTGAGAATGAAGTATGCCCTTTCTCATTTCCATTATTTATAGATTTGTACTCTGAGATTTAACTGAATATTTAAATGTTTATTCTAGAATACGCTTTTAGTTTTCATTGCTGAAATGGCAGGATATTTCTGGGTGTAGGTCCAGGTCCACCTACGGGTCCCTCTTGATTAACATTGATGGAACTCATCATCCACAGCATGTTCTCAGGTATTTTTCCTTTCTTTCCGTGAGAATGAAGTATGCCCTTTCTCATTTCCATTATTTATAGATTTGTACTCTGAGATTTAACTGAATATTTAAATGTTTATTCTAGAATACGCTTTTAGTTTTCATTGCTGAAATGGCAGGATATTTCTGGGTGTAGGTCCAGGTCCACCTACGAATTAAAGAAACAATGTTAGTTTAATGTGGTTTTTTTGGTTTTTTTTTCCCTGTCCTGTAGGGGTTTTATGATG